GCAGACACTCTCGCCTCTGCCAGGCAGCAGCAATCTAAAGCCTAAAGAGAGACAGGACGCACTGTGCACACACCGAGCAGAGACCAAGGGCCAGCCCCCAGCCTCACAAAGTTCCCTGTCCCCCCTGATTTTCTTCACCCAGCCTTCCAGCCACTGTTTCCAAATATACTCGTTGATGCCTACACTATGCCATGACCCATGCCTGGTGCAGGAACACAGAGAGAAAAGAGTTATAAAAGCAGAACATGTGGAAAGCAGAACAAAGACAGGCGAGAGGGTGTGGTGGAAGGAACCTGAGTTTTGGAGCCAGGCCGACCTGAGTCTGCCTCCTGGCTCTCCTGCTTACCAGGAAGTCACCTGCAATCTGAGCCTCTCTCCCATCTGTAAAATGGATCTTAAGGGGCAGTGGTGAGAAATCCCTGAGATTTTAGGTGAAGCAACTGAGAGGTGAAACGAGCTCCATCCTTGGGGGAGGCCACCGAGCAGGTAGGAGACGTGGCTGTTGCCAGACACCCTTCCTGTCTCACTTTCTGCCCCTCAGGAGAGCCCTTGGAAATCATTCCCCTGACCCCAAAGGGAGACAACGTCCTGGGACAAGCACAGGGTCCAGGAGAAGGCGTTGATGGGGGGAGCAGGTTAGCTCCCAGCACATGGCTGAGCCTCAGCAAAGGGGCGGTCTTCCTCTTCTCTTCCAGGCAGGGGAAAGAAAATGAAGCTCAAGACTCCCAATTGGCACCATTTTGAATTTTTCTTTCCAGTAGGAAAGAGAAAAAAAGGCCAAGGAGCTAAAACTCTCATGTGAGCACTGGGTGGTGGAATAGGAGTTGCCCATCCATCTCTGCCTCTCCGGCTGGGGCTCGCCCCCTCCTCCCAGAGCTGGTGGGCACTGAGGGGCTCAGCAGAATCGGCCCCTGTGCTGCTCCAGGAGTGCAGTGGAAAGCAGCACTGTCAAGCTGGTCATGTTCTGTACAACCAAACCTCTGTACGTTGCAGTGACTTGAGTCTCATAACTGCACCTACAGACCCAGAGCAGGAAGGTGTGGCACCAAACAAAGCCCTCCTCTACCTCAGACTGTCCCCGCTGCTGGCTGCTGCTCGGCCCGCCTGGCACTCCGCCTCAGAGGCGCTCGGTCCCGACACCACCTGCTTCTGCCACCATCTTTCTCCCTCACCGTATAGATCAAAGGCCCTCAATATACTTGGTCCTTTGACCCATCAAACAACGTTGGTTCTGCCTAAGGAAATAATTCAGAGCACGCGTGAAGATTCATCTAAGGACGTTCACCACAGCGTGGTCTACAATGGTGAAAGGTGGCTGACAAATAAGGGAGCAGCGCTGCGATGACGCGGGGGGCCCTGGTGCTGGGTCCGGGTCGCAGGGCCTGGAGGGCGGTCTCTGTGAGACCCCACAGGAGATTCTGACCCGCAGCCAAGGCTGTGGACCACTGGAGTCGCCGATGGGCTATGTGTGGCCATTATAAATGACACTTAAGGACAGTTTTTGTATGATATAAATAAATGCTTGTACTGCACTAAAGGCAAAACCAAAGAACTAGGGACTGGACTGTTTTGCCAGTAATTTCTCAACTGCCTCAAAGTAAAACCCCCCAAAACAAAAACCAGTTGAAACCAAAAGAACTTCCAAAATCCTAGAACTTGGGTAGAAACATGCTAACGTTTTATCTTAACTCCAAATGATAGGATTATGGGTGTTTTCTCATTTCAAGCCCTCTTCTTACCACGAGCAGATGTTTTCATAATCACAGAAACAATGAAAAGACCAGTGGCCTGGGGAGGCGGCTCTGTCCCCTCTGCACTGAGCTGCCTGCCACCCTGGAGGCTCATCCCAGTCACCATTCCCCACCCCACCCCCGTGTGACCACTGCCCCCCATACTTCACCCCCTCTGGGGCTCTCATGTGCTTTGCAGTCCTTATTTTAATTAACCCCCTAACAATCTGCTTTGGAAAGTGTTATATCCCATTTTCTGGATGGACAGAATTGGCTAGCATTAAATCTATGGTGTAAAAACCACCTAGGCAACAGGTGATGATGCTTGATCAGAACATTTTAGGCCCTTTGGCTTCCCTCTCAGCCTCCTTGCAAAAAAGCCTTTTGTACAGATGAATGCGACTGAAAGCATGACAAATCTGCTATATTTTGGTGATTCTAAGATGCAAATTTCTTCACATTCCAACACCTCTGAAATCTGAATGTGTCTCACAGTTGATGGCACCTTCAATTACAATCGGCAGCGTGCTTTTCTCTTAATGGTACATGAAATAATGGTACACCTTATGATTGAAGAGCAGCTTACACTCAGTGAAATGTACCATGTTTACAACCAAACCCATCATCTGATACTCAAAGTGCTACGTTTAATGGCTATGTAATATTCTATCATATGAATGTATCATATTTACTTAACCAGTTGCCTATTATGGGCACTCAGTCTGTTCCATAATGGTCAGTCTGTTGTGACCATTATAGATACTACTACTGGGAATACCTTTGCATTAAGCTTTCCCTTTTTCTACTTTGGGTATCATCATCCTCTTCCAGGTCCAAATCTTGAGAAACATTCTGACAATACTTGACCTTTGTCTCCATATTTTATCTATTACTATACTCATCTAGTCAATTCTTCTTCATGGTACCTTTTCCTGGTGTAACCACCAGAGGGCTCTCTTCTGAGCTCAGCCAAGAGTCCCCTGTCTCTGCTGATAGCTCCCCTCTCTATCCATCACTGTATTGCTGTCCAAACATGACTTGTGTGACACAACATCTGTGCTAAGAAACTTACACTCCCTACAGGGTGAAGTGCACACATCTTGCCTAGCATCCAAGGCTCTGTCAAACTTGGCTCCAAGCTCTCCTGCGGTCCCACCTGCCCACTTGAACACCTAACTCCAGACAAAGCAGCCAAGAGGGGTCCTGCCCCCCAGCCTTTGCTCACTCAGCTCACTCCCAGCTACTACAGGAAGGGCTTCTGTCTTTCTTTTCCCTAAGTCTTACCCATAAGACCCAGGTCAAGTTTCAGTTTTCCTATGTTTTATGACGCATGTGATCCTCATAACCACCTAGAGATGTAGAATAATAGGAATTCTTATTTCTTATTCTTTAAAAAAAATTTTTTTATTCCTTACCCGAGGATTTTTTTTTTATTGCTTTTAGAGAGTTAGGGAGAGTGAGAGAAACATCGATGTGAGAAACATTAATTGGTTGCCCCCTAGACGCAACCTCAGTATGGGCCCTGACCAGGAGTCAAACATGCATCCTTCTCCTGTTCAGGGCAATGCTACAACCAACTGAGCCACCCGGCCAGGGCTTATTCTTTATTCTTGCTCAAGGTTGTACAACTTAGATGTACAGAGACAGGCTTTAAACTTCAGGGCTTCCATCCTTAAATTAAATGCCTTTCACAGCCAAGTGCAAATACAACCATAAACTTCTTTAGAGGTGCAACTTGTATCCCAATCACATATCCAGCAATAAATACCAAGATTCAACAGCCTCTGAATTCTAGACATACACGTCACAACCATGAGATCACTGTAAGAGTGGAAACATTTCATGCCTTTCAGTTCTCAGCAGCCCAAGGAAAGGAATGAGACAACTGTCTCATTCTTATTTTAGAGATGGAAAGACAACAGTATTTTCCTTGATATATATCAGCTCTCAAACCTACACCAAACTTGACTGGTTTGGCCGGGTCCAGTCAGGACAAAGAATCAGAGCCGTGTCACTGGGTGACAAGCAGGACATGGAGAACTTGCTTTAAACTGAAGGGAAGTATTTCTTACGGAGCAAAAAGAGAGTGCATCCCTTCTCTTCTGTGACCATGACATTGCCTGAGGCTGAGGCGGCGAGAAAGTCAGGTGTAAGTGCTGGGTGGAAGACGAGGAGCAGGCAGGAGAGCGGCATTCGGCCGTTGCTTCCTGAGCAGCCGATTCACAGAGAGTGCATCCTGGCTGAAGCAAAAACATGCTGACTGCTCTTACTCTGTGTTCCCCTTAGACATGACGGGGTCCTAGCAATGTAAGACATCCTTACCCTATAGCAGTGCGACCCCTCCAAATAGGCTGGCTGCGGCTGCCATCACTCTCACCTGCTGAGGATGGTGGAGCTCTGTGCTCCTAAGAGAAAACGGCTGTCGGCAAGGTTCCCTCCAACGCCTTCTCCTACATAGAGCGACCCAGGTCCCTGGGTCAGTTTCTCCATTCTCTTTGGCCGAGAGTAGGCTGACTAGAGGGATATCAGATGAAAACTTCTAACGCAAGTTGGGAGGGTTGGTACTTTCATTGCTCTTAGGGTTGACCTGATGTCTTCATCTCGTAACAATAACCAGTGGCCTCACAGAGCAGGAGAGGATAAGAATGAGGCAACGGGGGTTCAGAAAGGTTGAGGGGCTATGGAGGTGGATAACGTTATTTCTCAGTCCTCAGCATACTTTCCAGTCATTCATACCAAGGCCACTTTGGGAGACTCTAAGAAGTGAATCCCTAAGATGCTTTACTTTCTCAAATGTGGGGACAAAGTCCCAAACCGGGAAAGGGCAGTGAAGCAATGTGGGGAAATCATGGGCTTCGAGACCAACTGGCTTCTCCCCTGCTTAGCAAGTCACATCTCTTCCCTTAGCCTCGGTTCCTGCATTTGTAAAATGGAGATGAGTACCGCTACCTCAGTCTTCCCGTGACTCCTCAGTGAGGGCAGGTGTGCGTGAAGGGCCTGGCACTGTTTTAACATATAGTCTTGCAAGTGTCCGGGGAGGGGAGGGGTCTTAACATTCGCAGGAGCAGTTACTGCCTCACTCGGGCAGCGCGGCTTTGTTGTGCTAAGTAGGGCATAGGAGCACACTCCCCCACGCCCCACCGGTAACACACACAGCCTCTTCTAGGGGAATTCAACAAGCGGGCGAATTGCGGTTTTCTTGCGGTCCCTGAGGTATGTTTCTTAGCCCTGACCAAACACAGGTTAATAACATGCCAAGACATTACTCACTGGCTCAATCCTCAGAGCGTTTCGGTAGCTGCCGAAGAAAGCGGCCTGGGCCTTGAGGAAGGCTCTGGCCACGCCATCGCCAGTGGTTGTGGAGACCTTCTTCAGCCGGTTCTTCAGTGAAGAGATCTAGTGACCGAGAGAAAGGAGACACACGTTGAGGGCAGGGTTGATGGAGGACGGCTGGCTAAGAGCTCTAGAAAATCCCTGGTCGGGGGATCAATCTGATACCTCGGCTGCTGGGAGAACAAAAATGCATTTGGTATTAGGGCAGATTTTTGACATTTAAATGAATGTTGCTTCTATTAGAACATTATCTAATAAAAACGCAAACAAAACCACTTTCTAAGCAGTTATAACGTGCCAAGTAAGCTTCACATAAAATTTCTAATTTAATTCTTTCAACAATCCTGCAAGGAAGAAATTGGTATTCCCAACTTGCAAGGGTGAAACAGTCTCAGAGCGGTTAGATCATGTGTCCAGGAACAAACCCAAGAAGTGGCCAAGTTGGAATATGAATGGAAGCCTTGTCATTTGACCCAAAACTACACGAAGATTTTTAATTCCAATTCCATTCCACCTTCAAATTACTTACAAATATTAGAAATAAATGACTTATTTATAATACTTAATATATTGTTACATAATAAGTTAATAAATGTTATTATATAGCTCACACCTTTTACTCTAATGGAATAGTAGCAGCTTACAGAGAAGTACTGGCAGGTTAAAAGAAAATTGGTAAGACAGCCATGGGAATGGGAAAAGTAGCCAGGAATAGATTTGGTACATGAAGAAAAGCCAGAGGTCTTACACAGTGGCTAGAACTGAATTTTTGACTTAACAATTCTCTAGTGGTCAAAGCAAAAAGGAATACATAAGAAGTTCCTTGTGTCCATGTATCACAAGCAAACCAGCTACCCAGTTGAACACAGATTTTCCCCCAGGTGAGAACTAAATGAGCTTCTTCCTATGAGTCCTCAGTGCAGGAATGACTACGACGTGATGGCTGTTGCCCTTAACATCAGAGACAGCATCAAGCTTCCTGGCTGGTTTCTAACATGCCCTTCATTCATCTCAGGATGCCATGCTGCACAGTGTCTGGACACACCATTCATACCTTGTTCCATGTGAAAGGTGCCCCTGGAATTGTCCCATGAGGTGGCCTCGAGTCGTTCACTTACTCAACAAATTTTATTTCCTGTGTTAGGTGTTCAATGGTGAACAAACCAGATATAAGCTCTGCCCTTACTGAGCTTCACTCTCGTGAGGGAAACACCAGTACTGTCCTGAGCCTGTGACAGCTCACCAAGGAACTCAAGGAAGGCTTCCTGGGGGCAACGGGCTTGCAACAAGACCTGAAGGGGGAGCTGAAGGAGTCACCTCAGCCAAGCGGGGAGGAACAGTGCACCAAGTATGAGGAACAGCATTTGCAAAGACCCTGCAGTGAGGAAGAGTTCAGAGAACAGGAAGGGCTTCCGTGGAGAGGATGAGGGGGAACCTGGCTTAGACTGAGGTGAGCGCAGGGGTCAGAAGAGTGGGTGAGTACACCACAGATTTTTTTTTCTTCATCTGGAGAGAAATGTAAAGCTAACGATTGTTTTTAAGCACACAGGGGACATGTCAAGGGTACAATTCAGGAATCAGGGGCTTGGATAAAGGACTAATGGTTTGACATTATCTAAGGATAAAATTTAGGATACTATTTAAGAATAAAATAGAAAATTAGATTCAGGTGGTCTGTGACTCATCTACAAATTTTTATTAAGAATGAGGGATGAAGATTTTGGGGGGCATAGGCTCCACAGCTTCCCTTGGCATCCTAAAGGTGCTGGAGACGCAAACCAAAAGAACACTAGGAATCATTGATCTGGGATGGAACACATACGCCTTTAGAAAGGCTCCATGAACATCATTTCTTTAGTGCTAAGCTTCTCATAGGGAATTTCAATAGGTTATTAAAATATACATATCTTACATACCACAAAATCCATTCACGTAAAGTGTATAGTTTAGTGGTTTTTAGAGACAAGGTTGTACAACTATTACTGTTATCTAGTTCTAGAACATGTTCATCACCCCCTCATTCTTCAAAAAAAGAGATTCATCTTATTGGTAGTCCCTTCTTATTCCCCACCAACCCTCCTCCTCCTCCTCCTCCTCCTCCTCCTCCTCCTCCTCCTCTCCTCCCTCAGCCCAGTCCTAGATAGCCATTTATCCACTTTCTGTCTCTATGGATTTGCCTATTCTGGAGTCATATAATATGTATGTAATCGTTTGTGCCTGGCTTCTTTCACTAAGCATAATGCTCATTTATGAACAACGCTCATCCACATTGTAGCACTTATCAATACTTCATTCTTTTTCATAGCTGAATAATACTCCCCTGTATAAATATACTGCTTTTATTTTTTTTTATCAGTTGATGGACATCTGGGCTGCTTTTACTTTTTGACTATTATAAATAACACTGCTATAAATATTCACATGTAAGCCAAAGGACACATAGAACAGTGCTTAGTACACAGTAGGCCATCAGTAAGTGACTACTGAGTATAGGGGAAAAAGTCCTGCGTGGCTGCTGAGGGGGTGTGCCATATGCTTGGAGAGTCAACTGAGCGTAGACAGGACTGGCGTCCTCCTCGGATAAGTCAGAAGTGACAGGAACATGCACTGAGAGGTGGCCACCCCATCTCTGGTTGGAGGCAGGCTAACACTTTTCCTCTGGAAGCAGCCTGGATTCTGTGTCAACACCTGAGTGTAAATACCTGGTTTGTTGGGAGCTCCCACACCACAGCAGTGGGCACCCATGAGGAGCAAAGCAGGCCACGTGGCACCCAGGCAGACTCTGCCATGGACTTCAATTTGAAATACGACGCAAAAAAAGACACATGCTTTATTAAGGTGTTAAAAATATTGCCCACTACCCACCATCCAAATAATAAAAACCCTGCCCCTCCCAGGGACTTGGGTGACATTTCCATCCTTTGAAATGGTGCAAGCCACTGTCGCTCTTCTTCTGGCTCTTCAAAGGCTTGGGCCACCTGCGCCTCAGATTATTCCTCACTTAACCTTCCCTGGCCTTTCCTGTTCATTCGGGAGGTGTTTAATTACCTTGGATTCACAAGCTGCACTTCAGGTGAGCCTCTCCTAATGGCCTCATTACCATTTTACACAAAGAGGTGGTTGCTGATGATAACTGAGCAAATATGAGCGGGTGCCTCGCCGCCCGCCCAGCCGGTCTGAAACCAGCCAAGCGGTCCTGGGCTTTTGGTGCCCCTGTGACTACGTAGGCCAAGACTTCTGAAGCCCTCCCCTCACTCTGCATCGCGGAGAAGCTTTTGTCAGCACTTCAAACTTGGAAGCTTCAAGTAGACGTGCATCTGATCGCTGGTGGTAGCGTTCTGCCCTTTAAAGAAAACCGAGGGAAGAAAATCTAAGGCTTAGATAACCCAAAGTCATACATCTGAAGCTGAACTTGCTCTGGGTACTCCTGGGGGTCCTGATCAGATAATTAACATCAGGGTTCGCTGGGCTTAAGTTGGGGGCGACAGAAATACTGTTGAAGATGGCCTCCTCCTCCAGTCAGGTATCACGGGAAGCAGCCAGAAAAGAAAGGGAAAGGAGTACAGGACTGAGTGCATCAGCTTCTCCCACGGGGTAACTGCAGTGTCACCCGACCACTGTCCTAGGCCAGATGCGGACGCTGGGCGCCAGAGTCTCTTCCCCTTCCACAACTACTCTCACGTCCTATCCACACCGCCCTGAATGTCCTGAACCCACCCTCTCCTCTCAGAGCCCATGACTGCTGTCCAGCTCCAGCCACCCTCTCGGGCCCAGACTGGCCGGGCGGTTTCCCAGACGGGCTCTCGGTCTCCAGTCTCCCCTCAGTGCCAGCCACCCAGAGCTGTCTTGCTCTGTTCCAATCTCGGGAAAACGTGACTCTGATCACTTCAAACGCTCCCTCAAAATCCTTCAATGCCCTTGCCCTGGGCCACCAGCACCTTCAGAAAAACATCCCAACTCCTCAGAGCAACCCGTGAGATGTTCTCAGTGGGCCTCGCTTCCTGCAGCCCCCTTAACGTTTTACTAGACTGATACTGAATTTCTATCTAGAAGCATATATGGCTCTTCAGCCCAGACACATGTTTACAACTCATATGGAGCTGTCCCTTCTCCCTTCCTCTTCTTGTGACCATCTCTTTCCCCTCTGAAAGACTGTCTAAGCGTCCATCAATGGGACCGATTAAGTATACTATATCACATCCTCACAATGAACTACTGTATAGCTAAAAAGAATGTGGCAGTACTCTGTAAAACATGAAAAGATGTCCACAAAATATTGCCAAATGGGGGGGAAAACACACAAATTGCAGAGCAATGCATACAAGCATTTAAAAAATTAGATCTGTACATATATGTAGTATAAATCTAAAATGCCAGGTATCAAGCTTTAACCATGTGGAGATACTTTCTCTTTTATGGACTTTTGATTGTTTTGATTATCCCTTATAAAAAAGCATATGTTACTTTTATAATACAGAATTTAAATGAGGTATTTTTCTTTAACAGTCAAATTAAACATTGCCTTGGGTTAAGGGAAGGAGGGAAGCCAGATGTCCCCTCATCTGCGAAGCCTTCCCTAACCCCTAAGACAGGGTTAACAACACCCCGTCCAGCCCCCGGGACTGCATAGGTGATTCTTGGGTGCGCTGCTGTGTCTTCCGTCTTTCCCGCCAGACTCTGAGTTCCCAGAAGGTCCAGCAGTGCTTGGCCCAGTGTGGTCATCCAGCAGTTTCTGCTGAATGAAAGAGCAGGTGAGCAAGTGTTCTGACATCTTGCAAGGCATTTCCCGTGGCTGAGCCTCTGCTTGGAGACAAGCCTAGGATCACATTCGATCATTAGATGAAAGTGGTCTCAGTTGGGAAGGGCTGAGGGAGAAACTGACACTCATTCTTTCCCCTTCTGCAGGAGGCCATCATTAGGATGCAAGGAAAAGGATCCTGTGGGTGCTGAATGAGTTAAAGCGAAAACTAGACCAGTCTTATACAACACTGCATGTGCAATGTGTCTGGAAACAAACGCAGTGTTCTCCATCCCCACTCCACCCTGCACCTGGCACCCGTGTC